CTCGTCGGAATGATTCCTCGGAGTCGGCGGGAGCGGCAGACCCTTGGCGACACCCAGCTGCCCTCACACGTCCAAGCGTCGGTCCTGAGCTCAGGCCGCGCTTGCCTTTGAGGAGCCCCATAATTTAACCCGTTTGGTTTTTGCCCGTTTTGTCACTTGAAGAGAGGGAGTCGGCCTCCCGCAGGCTCGAGCACGACTAGGGACTGACGACTAGGGGCTGACGTTTGGGCCGGGCGCCGGCCACGCCCCCGGGCGGCCCAGTCAGGGGTGAGCTGCAGTGTCTCCCAGGCCCTAGTGGCGAAGACCGCGGTCGAGAACCACAGTCTCTCTCGCCCCGGCGCCCCCTGGCGGGCCCTTCCGCAGTTTGGAGGGGCAGAGCAGGGCAGCGAGCACCGAGAGCCTCAGCCTTGAGCCAAATCCCAACGGAGACTCAAGAGAAACGATTCGCCCAAGGTCTCTGGCCAAGACTGAGCTTGATCTTGCCACCCACTATCCCGGTTTCTCAGAAGAAGTCAAACATCGTTACCATCATCAGGACACTCCCAAAAGAAATATCAAGCATATAAATCAGTAAGAGGGACAATGAAAATCATTTAAAAATAATTTTAAAATAGAACAGCTTAGAGATAGAAACTATTTAAATTATTTCCAATTCTTACTGTGTCCAAAGTTCATGCTAGGTTTGTCCTCCCAAAAGTTTCTGAATTCTATATTTTGCATTAAATTCCACGATAAAGTTGGAAATCCATTCACCATTTGTAATACATATTGATGCATTTAATAAAAACTGCATGGACCATAATCTTTTTAATTTCTGTATCCCAGTATTAAGTACAGTGCCTACCATGGGCCAGGTTTTCAATACTTCAATGACACAAAAATAGCCAAGAACAGCAAATTTTCTCTGGGTGGGCTCGACAGAATTTCTGTTACTTGCTTGGATCACCATGAAATCCATGGTCTTCAGCTTTGCATTCTCAGCAATGTAGTTTTACCAAGTTATCCTCTGGTGAGTAGTGAGACCCTTGGGAGCCAATTCATGAAAGGGCGGCTTTGTAATGTGTCACCTTGGCTAGATTATGTTTCTCAGAACTCCCTTTCTGTATGCTTCTGGTTAGGATGGGTCAGAAGAGACATTCTGCCTGGTAACGGAAGGGCAGAAGTGAAGCAGGAACATACTGTTTTTACACTTGGAAGGTTGGTGCAGGGGCACCAGGTGCTGCTGCAGTTCACGCATGTTGTCATTTATCTGCTGGCTCACCTCGTTGATGTGGGGCAGCAGTCAGGCCTGCAGCCAGGCCTGCAGCTGCTCCACCTCCCCCAGGATCTGCTGTCAGCTTCTCTAGTTCCTGGGCCAGGTGCACATTTAACTCTGTGAAGAAGGGCACCAGCTTCTTCTGCAGGACACCCACATCATCGAAGCTGGAGATGGTGAGAGGCTGACACGGGTTCCAGGCCATCCTCGTGAGCTCCAGCTCGTGCTCGCGGGCTCCGACGCGTCCTTGGTCTCCCACACTTTGCATCCATCTTCCTTTTCCGACTGCCTGCCCTGCAGACTTCAAGCTCCAGCATTAGATGCAAAGACAACAGCCTTACAAAGACAGTTCAACCAGCTTCTACAACTTCATATGGCCAAATCTCTTAAAATACATATAATCTTCATCTTAGTGATTCTACTCTTTTGATTGTACCCTAATACACATGGCAATCAGACTCAACTCCTGACTCAATGCCAATCAAATAAACTTGACTGTCATATTTACCAAAATACTAGGGCTAGGTGGTTGGCTCCCAGAGGGACCAAAGTACTATCAGTTTTAACAAGAGCTGAACTATATAGGGTGTTGGGGCAGGGGAGCACGGGAAGGGGCAGAAGAGGGTAGCAGGTTATCATGTAAATTAGAACTGAGAAATAGCTAATCCAGGTCTGTTACCTAAAGCTGCAGAGCTGGGACTACTGTAAAGCAAGGGAAGCACACAGGGTCCAAAATTCAAGGAGTCACTCCATCCCAGAACTATAAAGCTGGCTAAGTAACAAACTATAGCTCTAATGTTTTTTGGCACTTTATGAATGAAGAATTGGAGAGAGTAAAGTAAGGCTGAGCCAAGACTGGCCTTGAACCTGAAGCAGGAATTCAGCCTCCTAGTACACATGCAGGCTGAAAGCAGGAACCTAGCACAAATGTCATCAGAGGGCAGGAGATGCTTGTTATCAGAAACTAGAGCCAGACTGGCAGCTTTTGTTCCAAAGACTGCATTGGGGAGAGGGAGTCCAGGTAACAAGTAAAATGGACAGCAGCCATTGGAAAGGGATACCCTGTAGGGTTCGATAAATCTTATGCATTTCCACAAACAGCCTTGGCATCCCTAAATCATGCTAGAGACAGGAGTATAGAAATTACAGTATTTCTAGTAACCCACTGTGTGTTTCAATGTCACTAAAAACTGTTATTATAATGTTCACATTACTGCATATAGGATTGTTACAATGTAGGGGCATATAAAGACCTTTTCAGCCCAAGTTTACTTCTAAGCTCTACCAACACTAGCTGTCTGACAGTGCACAAATTGAGTCTCAGTTTTCCCATCTACAAAAATGGGCAAAACCATTATCTTCTTCTTTTAACCATTGTCTTATTAAAAAGGCTATTTTGAGGATTAACTAGAATCCACAGGAGGAACTCATTAAATAGTAGTTCCTTTCCTCATATATACACATTACATTTTCCACAGTTCTCCCTGAGGAAATGTTGAGACTGTCGGATGCCATCCAGAAGCCATTTAAAATTATTTATGAAGACGGCTTGTTTAGGTTATTTTGTGGTGGCTTTAATTATATTTCTTTTCCCCACTCCAGCTCCCACACTCTTAATATCCAACTTCTTATCACATTCAGGCTCCTGGGGAGGAGCAGATCTACCAACTTTCTTCCCCTTTTTCCCCCTATAAGCTTCAAGTACGAAGTTGGGCTGCTAATCCAGCTTGGTGGTAGGATTTTCCTTGAGTTGAGTCCTAAGTTCTGGCAACCCATCTATGGGCCAGCCTTTTAAGAGCAGTGTTATCTATAAAACTGATTTATACCTTGAATGTTAGCATCCACAGAAGTCTCCAGCCTACCACTTTATAGTTCAAGGATTTCTAAGGTCCTTGGAACTAGAAAAGAGGAAGCAAGTCTGCACATCGAATAAGATTTGCTATGAGCAAAATGGAGTTTCATAAAACCATTTCCTACTATTCTGCATCTTCCATTCATTTCCCTTAATTATCCTTTACCCCCTTTCTCTTTTAAAAGCTATCCTATAAACAGGGAAGCACCTTCTCTTAACACGGAATGATTTCATGCCTAGGGAAGTCAATTCCACAGTTAGAGTCTAAGCTCCCTGAAGGCAAGGATCCTGTGTTTTCTGAAGGGAAAGTCTTACAGCACTCAGTGTAGTCACTGCTATCTCCCATACTACTATACACCCAGCTGGGGCTCAATCAGGACCTTGGTCATTGCCAGAGTGCAGCTGAAAGGGATTCTGGCCTAGTGGAATTGGTTTCCAGGAATAAAGAACCCCAAGTGCTTAGGCCAATAGTTCATGTTGCCCGTGTCTGGGGCTCTGTGCAAGGCCTGTAAATTTTCTGCAGGAGGTAGTATTCCTCTGTCCTCCTCCCCACTGCCAATTCTTACACAGACCTACCCTTTGTCCTACTGCCTAGTATACAGGGACAGTTCTGCACAGCCGCTGAAATGGTTAATTACCTTAAAACTCAGAAGCACAGCCTAAGCCCCTCCACAGAGCTTGCTCCAGGATGTGTAGGATGAGTCGGAGATCACACAGCTGCAGGTGGACCCAGCTCAAAGCCAGTTCCTGCCCACCCTACCACCCAGGCCAGCTCAACACCCACTTCTATGACACAGCTCATCATCAGGGGCAGCCCATCCACTTGTCTCTTAGAGACTCCAAAGGCTTCTAAGACCCAAAATGATTCTCTGAATAATAATTTATATATTGTTTGACCCCTACAGGACTTTCGGATCAATTGAACAATTTGCCCTTCAGTGTTCAAGAATTTATTCCTGGATGTCTTACACTAAAACCACAAGTCAAATATCTATTAGTTAACAAGAAATTGCTCTGATATATGCAGTAAATTTCTTTTATCTGCAGTAAATGTCTTATTAGTTAACAAGAAATAGTCCTGCTATGTGTAGTAAAAGGGAACTGAGGGACCAGCAGTTAGCGTAATGGCTATGTCGCTGGACCCCCACGCAGTCGACCACGGTTGGAGTCCCGGACCCGGTGGCTTAAACTCACGCCGGGCGCGTGTGCGTGCATGCCCAAGATCCCGAGAGGAGAATGGAGAAGGGACTGCAGTGTGGCCATCCCCCCTGGGGAGTGATTTCTCACTTTCTATCTGTCTGTCTCTGTCTGTCTGGTGAGTGCACACGCCCTATAGCAAAAACCTCTCCAAAAAAAAAAAAAGGGAATCAAAAGCATCATTTCCAAATAAATTGTTTCATATAAACTCAGCCACGTATGAGTCTAACATATTGCAATTAACTCCGACTCTGTGTTTTGTTTCGCTATGAATGCCAAGAGTTCAAATGAAAACAAAATGAGATTCATTATGGTTCATCTCAATGTGTTGGAAACCAATGAAGGGATGTTATCATATGCAGTCCATGAATCACAGTGAACAGAACCAAGCTGAACTATGTTTGCAAAACCAGTGGCAAAGTTTGGGCAGAATATTCTCCAACAATTTCCAAATAACTAATAGCTGGTTGATGGATATTACCTAAAATACCCAAAACTCCTCTATTTCCTTTTCTGGAACATGGCCACAATACTTGATTTTGTGACTTAAAACAGACCTCTCTGACTTGTAAGTAATGTCAGGGACCCCACCAAGCTGTATTGGATGCAGTTCAAAGTAATGGTTGCACATTTCATGACAGAAACTGTAGACATCAATCACAATAAAGGGCCAAAATTCCAGTACTGTAATGGCAGAAGCTGCTATTCTGTGACTTCCATAGACCATAAGAATAGAAGACGAAGCCACATTTTCAGGGAAATGTTGGAATCTGTGAAAAAAGACTCTTTTTAAAAGGAAACCCAGGATTAGCAACTTCAGAGAACATTTCCATAAACAGCTGTCTTTGCACTGGCATTGCACCATCCACCATAAGAGCTGGGGACAGGAGGAATATTCAGGAGCCACAGGTAACAAATTATGCTCCTTCAAGAAGTCAAAAGCTGGTAGGTTTGAAGTGCTGACATAAGAGCCTGTAGTGTATCCTAAAATAAACGTCTACCCAATGGAAGAGGCAAAATAAAAATTTTCTCAAAGATACAGTCACTTATAAAATAAAATTTGAATTTGACCCACCACAACTGAGAAATTTGATCCACAGGGACAAATTGTTTCAAATGATCCGAAATCTCTCTGGTCCTGCACACACACCCTCATCACTTTTTGTGATCAGCACAACGGGTGTAAAGGGATTTTTACCACCCACTGCACCATGCCCAACTGCTGGCTGTACTTTCAAAACTCAGGGCCCAGGGAACCAGCAGTTAGCATAATGGCTATGTCGCTGGACTCCCACGTAGTCGACCATGGTTCATGGAGCCGGTGGCTTATAACTCACGCCGGGCGCGTGTGCGTGCGTGCCCAAGCTCCCGAGAGGAGAATGGAGAAGGGACTGCGGCGTGACCATCCCCCTTGGGGGGTGATTTCTTGCTTTCTGTCTCTATGTCTCTGTCTGTCTGGCGAGCGCACGCGCCCTATAGCGAAAACCTCTCCAAAAAAAAAAAAAACTCAGGGCCCACCTCTCATCAACACCCACCCCATCCCCACCCCTCACTGTGTGGGGCACACCTTGGCAACCAGACTGCTGTATCCCGGAAGCGGGTTCCACCAAGGCTGAAAATCTCCGTGATCTAGGGAAGAATGAACGTAATGGATCAACATGGCTGGTGGGAATAAGGTAGGACCAGGATAGGGTGGGGCACTCTCCAGCACTGACCACAGGTGTGCCAGCCCCTCCTGCCTCCTCCTCTGGGGCCAATTCAGAGGCAGAGTCATTCTTGTTCTCCTCATCTTTGTCCTCCTCAGGGTCAGGTGGCTCTTGCTTCACAGGCCGCAGGCCTAGGTCTCCTGCCTGGGAGAGGTGGGAAACAGGTGGTAGTTAGAAGGGCAAGGTGGCTTGAGTAAAGTCACTGTCAGCAAATCTGTCACTGTACCAACAAATCACACTTCCATCACAGTCCAACAGAAATGCCATCTCTCTTCCTATAAGCCTTTCTATTCCCATTCTTTACTGATCTCCACTTATATGTTAGCTGAGCAAACACGGAAAGCTAGTTGCCTGTGGAAGGTGGAGTCTATTAGGCAGCGTAATTCTGCAGACAGCCTGAAATTAACACACCTAACTTCTCAACTCGAAGAATCACCATCATGACTTCCTGTCAGTCTTACAGACCACCCCCTCATGGCATCAATAGGACAACTACTTCTCCCACCTTGTTAGGGCAGCCAGGCAGTAATACAGGAGAAGTCAGGACAGCTGTGCCTGATGTCCACTCTTCCTGGGCATCAGCCTTCTCTTGCTTCACCTGGGGTAAGGCCACAACCCAGGTCAGGCCAGAGCACTGGGCTTCCTGCATGAGGGAGGATTATAGCAGACTCACTCTCAGCTTCCTGGCAGGAAACTGGGTGGGACTGGGAAAGGTAGGACAACGCTGGACCATTACCTGACACAGGGTTTCTGTGGAAGATGTGGCAGGGCCTGGCACCTGCACAGGACTACTTGCCCCCTCCCGTAAAAACACAAGGTCGGTGCCAGGCGGGGGCAGCACAAAACCACCACCTGCTTCCTGCTTCATTGGAGCCTGGGCATGGCCTGGTCGAGTTCTGTGCGTAGCCAAGAGGGGCTTCGTGGTGGGTCCCAGATGGGGCTGTCGAGCAGAGCCAGGCCTCTTTCGACGAGGATAAGCTGGAGGTGATGCTACCCCGTCCTCAGACCCTGACCAGACACTGGGCAGCAGCCGCGAGTACGGCTACCTGCTGCCATGGCCAACCACACCCACCCAGTTCTCAATGTAACTGCTAATCTCCTGTACGTCGCAGCACAGGATCTGCTTATATATGAGCCCTTTACCATTGTGCCTGCTAGTTTCCCGCTGGCAATGCCAGTGCTGCCTAGACTCGTTTTCTCCAGTACTATGTCTGTAGATTCCAGGACTAAGCTACTGCCCCACCAACCCACCTACCAGGCCTGCCCACCATTCTAGGTACTGGGGCACCTGGCTCAACCTATCCCATCCACCTGACCCTTCCTGCCCCACCCACCATGGCAAACTGCAGGCATTGGCGCCAACGACACTTCTGGCGCTTCTGGTTGCTGCCCCCGAATTTGGGCTTGTCGCAGCAGAAGTCGCAGCGGCCACAGTCCGCACGCCGTCGGCAGGCTG